AGAGTGTAGGAAACCATATGAAAGATGGGGGAGTCAGTATGACCTGGAGAGAACAGGAGCTCCACAAGGACTAAATATATCTGGGTGCAGGTATCTTTTCTGAGACTGATTCTCCAACCAAGGACCATACATAGATATAACCTAGAACCCCTGCTTGGATGCAGAACATGACAGCTCAGTAATCCAAATGGGTTCCCTAGTTAGGGAAACAGAGACTGTCTCTAACATGAATTCAATGGCTGGCTCTATGACCTTGCCCGCCTGCCCCTGAGGGAGGAGTAGGCCTTGCTAGGCCAAGGGGAGGACATTTCAGCCAGCCTGATGAGAACTGATAAGGTAGGATCAGAAGGAAGGGGAGGAGGACCTCCCCCATCACTGCATGTAGAGAGGGGCAGGGAGGAGATGATGGAGGGAAGGTGGTAATGAGGGAGGGGGCTACAGCTGGGATACAAAGTAGATAAATTGTAACTAATATAAAAAATAAAAATTTCATTAAAAAAAGAATTTAGAAGGAGTTAAGGTGTTGGGAACAGTGACTCTGGCAGCTGCTTTGATATTTAAATCTCAGAGGAGAGACTGCTTTTACTGGACCTTCACTAAAGGCAGGGTAGAATTTGCAAGTCCATCTCCTTTTGTTTGTGACAGCAGGTGGGATAGCTTGTGAGGGTCACACCTCTTCCTCAGGCTCCTCTTGGAAATTAAATCATTGTTCTGAGATGTTTCTTCTCTGGTTTAGAAACTACAATAAAAAGACTGCTAAGGGGCTGACGGTGGGTGCTAGGGCTGCTAGTTTTTGCTGCAGAGAGGAGAGTTGCTGCTAGAGGCTAGAGGCTTTATGCTGTGGCTGTATATGCTGAGTCCGGACCTTCTTAAAAAAGTCTCCTGTGTTCTGTGTGTTATTTTATTAATTTTAATCCTCACTCCCGACTCAAGGACTGTTCAACTCTGCTGGCTGGCTCCGGCATTAGGGGAATAGAAACACCTGAGAATATATTGTATAAAAATCACTAGCAATGAAAAAAAATAATTACCATTTTTTATTTTTACCATTTAATTAAGAATTTATGGGCAAGGTAATTTTTAGGATTGTTCTCCCCTCATTTAAATAAAAATAAAATAATTTCAATTAAGAAAAACTGAAGTTGATAAATTGTAAATAATATTAAAAATAAAAAAATAAAAATAAAAAAATGAATAAATAAGTGGGATTGAGGAAAGAAAGGGGATGGAGGGAGAAAATGGCTTGGATTATTTCAATTGACTTAAGTAGAAAATTAGTATTTTGAAATTTTAACCTAAAACAAAACCAAAACAAGCAAACTACTAAGCAAAAAAACACGATCTCATAAAGAAACAACAGGAGAAACAAAATAAGTACCAATAAAGTCTAGCTGTAAAGAATTATAAGTGGAAGAGTTCGTTAAAATTTACCCAGAAAGGCACAATGGTCATAATATTAGATTCATGTAACAAAGGAATTTTAAAAATAAGGTTCTGCACAGTGGGCCATCATTCATCACAGAAGTTATGCTTATCATGTAGTCAGTCCACAAAGTTCGTGAATGGGCTTCATGGTCTCATGTTTTTTAAAGTATATAGCACACAGAAGACTCATGAAATGGATTGTAAAGAGAAATTTTAGAAGAAAATATCTTCCTTAAAGTCTTGTTATTAATTTTTCTGGTATAAAACATCTTGTAAATAATATTTCTGGAAATGTATTCTCCTAGGACTGAGGTTGTTAAATAGAGAAAAATCATGAAAGAATAAAAATATAAAACCATTGAGAGACCAAAAGATAAATTAGCAGCTATTAAGACCTAAAGTAGGTAAAGTAGGTACCATAAAGAAGTTTAGTAATGCCCTGAGGGGAAGAGCCACCTCACTGTATTCTTTCCCCACCCACTAGAGATACAGTTGCTAGGAAACTGGACCATCCCCCTAGGGAGGGACACCTGGTCATTATTGGTCTGGGAACCTTCTTATAGCCAGTCGATTCAAAGTGTAGCATTTTGACCAATAGATGCTTGCCAGGCAGGAACTGCCCCTGCCTTGGGCATGCTGGGATGGACCAGAATCTATAAATCACCCAACTAACCTGGGGGCAGGCGCTCAGCTCCCACCGCTTAGGCGGTGGGGCTGTGTATGCCCAAGCTGCAGCTTGTAATTTACAATAAAAATACCCTCATGTGTTTTGCAACAGAGTCGATTCCTGTAGATCTTTTGGGGGCTCGTGAACTGGGTATAACACCATAAAATATCATTCACTACTACATGACAGTAAACTATGAAGAAACAGTAAATTAGAAGAATTTCAATAGCTACAATAGAGAGAAATTATAGAAAAAACGTTCTTTCCTTTTGTCTACTAAGAAGCTACAAATGTTGGCTAGCATTTTCCAGTTACACATTTACTTAAGAACTATTTTATAAATGTACTTTTATATTCTATGCAGATAGCAAAATATGACAACAAATGCAAGGCAGTTGTAAGGCACTATTGCATAATACAAATATATCTGTACATTCCACAGCATAATAGGCATTTCTTGTTAGTTGAAATCATTTTCACTTCTTACAGTTCTAAAGCTTGATAATGTACAATAAAATGTATGTACCAGTGAGGGCTGGTTCTTTATTTTGTAACTTCATATTAGGCACCCACAATGCTTTGAAGATTGATAAGAAAAAATAAAATTTGAGCCTTATTATTAGGAGCTATACATGAGGAACAGCTGAACAGCTTTAGAACTCATGGAATGTGGCCCATTGGTTAGCAAAATTATGATGAGTGTGTCTCAGAGAGGCTAAGCTTCAAGAACTGTGTGTCCTGAGGTCTCCATCGCTCTTGTGGAGTTTTGCTCTGCTTGTTGTCTTCATGGCCACCATAGCCCTCCCACTCGATGACCTATATCGAAAACTCAAAGGGGCCTTCCAGGCCCTCACTGGGCAGTCTTGTTGGCACTTACAATCATAATGATTGATCTTTTCCAAGCATTTCTCCTAGAGCAGATTAATTCAGTCACCACCCTTGGAAAGAACTTAGAGATGGACGTTGTTAGCAGTGACCACTACCCTTTGAAAGAACTTAGAGAAGTAGAATGGTAGAAAAAGTAAATTAAGATGTTTTCATTAGGGGCTCTGATATAGAAAACCTCTCAAGTTCAGAAAGGCACACTCTTTTTTTTTTTTTTTTTTACAGAGTGATTTCTTTTTTTTAATTTTTAATTTTTTATATTAATTACAGTTTATTTACTTTGTATCCCAGCTGTATCCCCCTTCCTCATTCCCTCCAAATTTCACCCTCCCTCCCTCATCTCCTCCCTGCTCCTCTCTAAGTCCACTGATAGAGGATTTTTTGAGGTCAGAGAACAGACATGGGTAAGCCTACTAGCATTGGCTGATGTGATTCCTTTGCTTAAGGTGGGTTGGTGATGGAGGAGATGATTAATTTCTTGTACCCTTTATATTCTCAGCTTCCTGACATTTTAAAGTAGAAATGAGTGATTATTTTCATATAAAAGGTTAGATTTGTGACTCTTTTAAGATTTTTATAAGATTATTTTTAAGATAAATAGTAAAATGATTGATCCTTTCTTTGTGGCTGCAAATTGCAGCATGCCAGTAAGAGAAACTGGCTGAGAAAATTACCTTGCTTGTTTACACATCGTTAACCTATAACAAGTTGCTTAGTTACAAATGTATGTGGGTTCTTGAGAATAATTTGATTTTCACATATAATAGGTAAAACATTTGATCATGTGAGGGTATTGGGGAACACTTTTTTTTCCTTACATATACTCACTATAATCATTCACTAAAAAAAAAATAGAATGTAACCGCAATGTAATTTTTACACTATTTTTTGAGATTTTGCTGGAATATATAAGCTCTGGGAAAAAATAAAATTATTGGGGCTTTACTTCTTCCACCAAATATGTGTATATATGTATGTATGTATGTATGTATGTAGGTATGTATGTGTTTTTGTGTATGAGTGAAGTTGTTAAAGCTTGCTCAAACATCCTTCATTCACTAAGCATGCCTGTGTGATTCTTTCACCCCTCTTTTTTTTGCCAACCCCCAAAGAGTTTCTCAGCAGCCAAAGGGAGTACTTTGCTGACCCCAGTGAGTCCATGCTTTGTCTTAGTCTACCCTGACCTATCAAAGCTGACCTTCAACACCTTATTGAATTAGCTAGCTGCAAAAATTGCTGATAGATATTTAATTTTAAATATTAAAAAAAAGACATGATCTGGAGGTCAGAGTATGATTGACATGTGAGGAACACCATGCATAGATAAGATCAGACTGGAGCTTGCTGAAGGATATTAGGACAATATGAAAATATATTTGGCTCCTTAGCTATCATTCTTTAGGATACCGTTGGAAAAATCACAGAGGAAATTTCAAAATGATAGAAGTGTTTGAAAAGACATGAAGTAGTACATTAGCTCAAAATCATGTTTCCTGATAACATTTTTTTCTATTTGTATTACTACAACTCATTGTTAAAGAAACATTTAGCTAAGTTTCTGATTTTGAAACACCATGTTACCATGCTTCATGTTAATACCTGTGTGGGGTAGCTTTCCAAACTCTACTTGACTTTGTGTCATGGAACTTAAATATTCTTCTTTTTGTTGTTGATATTTAGTCCTTTGAATGCTGTAGATTATAATATAGTTATAGTTCTTCTTTTTGTGTGTTCATTTGTGTAACACCATGGTCACTCTCTTCTAACAACCGTGACACACTTGTGGGCTCATTCTAGCTATACTGTACCTGGATACAAAATGCCCATCAAGTGAGTTTTACAAATATTTCAATGCATAATTTCCTAATATTTTGAAGTAATATTTAAAAAATTACTTTATTAAAAATATCTATTTCTTTACTATCCAATCAAAAGCGAAGATCTCAAATAACAGTAGAAAATGTCAATGAGTAATCTGTTTTGTGTCTTGACTGAATAAATTTTATATTTTATTTATTTTTACCTTTCAGAAAAGACTGAAATTCCCTTCCATTGTCTTCATTGATTTTCTCTTCTAGGGAAAGGAATGCATTCTTCATGTTATCCATAGCCAGAGAAACATTGTCAACCTTCTTCTGCAGAAGCGAAAGCTTCTTTTCCTGCTGGCTCATTTGCTCTTCCATTTTTTGAATCATGGCTGCATTTAGAAGAGAAAGAGAGAGAGAACGAGAGAGTCAGATCCATTAAAAGTATAGACTTAAAGGATGTAAAAGTTTATGTTGTATAAAGAAAATTTATTTAGACCATATGTGTGCTTATAGAGTTAAAAATATGGACTACATTTGCGGGCCATTATAAAAGTATTATAATAGTTTAATTTCTATGTTTTAAAGTTTTCTCATAATTTGTCTTATTAAAAATATTTGACGTCATCACATGTTGAATAAGTAAAAATATTGAGGGTTGGCTAGCCAAATGAGCTTACCATCACCCAGCTAAATGTTGATTTCTCCTCTTAAACTGTGTCTCAGATTTAAATGTATGTGGTTTTACATATGTGTGGCATCCTAGTTATCCAAGTGTTTCAATGCATAGTGAAGTATTTTCTAATGGGAGGCATATCCCAATTTAGAGAAATTCACTCTGTGCAACAAAAATATTTACTAATTGTAATATTTACCCATGCGTTGTGCCTATTCAAAGACTTGCCAGTATTTTCCTGAGTCACAGCATAAATTAAAGAACAACTTCTAGGTATATTACCAAATTCACTTTTTAAAATTAATTCTTTGAATTATCATCCAAAATAACAGATTTCATTATGGCAATTCCTACATATTTATTATCATTCTTCATTCATATTCAATTTTCATTATCTACCTCCTTGTCATCATTCTACTTCTAGTTCTCTCCTTCTTCCTTCCAAATGAGTTCAATTATTGCTATGCCTTTGCGTGTGTGTGGATGTGTACTATTTATCTGACATATGTCAGCTACATATATATATCTCAGAAGGCATGACAGTAGAAAAACTTTTCTGTTGTATACATACATTTATGTATGTATACAATGTGTGTATAATATATACACCATGTATATAGTTTTCATGTACATAATTTTATGTGAATATACACAAATCTAGATTTTACATGTAAGAGAAAACATCATATTTGTCTTTCTGGGTTCAGCTTATCGCTTGCATTTTTTTAAAAAAAGAGATGCCTTTAAATCCCATTTCTCAACTAAATGCCTTGACTTGTTAACCAAAATCTATACCAAACATAGTCTTAAAGAGGTGCTATTGGTACTATCTGAGCTTGTTTGGGGGTTAAAGTTAAGCCTAAGATGACAAAGTGTTGTATTAGGACAGAAAGCATGCCTCAGGATGACTTTTGATCAGTACAAGGTTTTAGGCATAAATAACTCATTTCCCAAATTATCAGCACCCCTTTGTGGTCTCTCATTAGCCAAAACAGCCTTCCCAGCTCGCTTTCTTAAAGCAGTCAAGTTGTTCCTCGACATCAAAATTCTTCCATGATTGCAGTGTTTGGAAATGAAAAGCCGAGTCTGGTTTTGGAAAACTGGTCTGTTACCCTGGATGTGTGATTGCAACAGTTTTAGTCTCCTGGATTTGCACATGGATTTTTCTTTTCTCTTTATTCAAGTCATTTTATTTGGGAACCTACAACCCAGAGCAGTTTCTCCAAACAATTACAAAACAGAACAGGATTGAGAAGTATGTTAGTCCATAACCACTGGAATGGTATTGACAATAACTGTGTTGAAGGTGACAGGAATTCCCATCTAAGACCTGGGTCGCCACATTCTTGCTTCTGCTTCTGGACTGTTTCTTGGTCAACAGCTGTGTGACTTTCAGCTTGGTTACTGTTTGCCAGTTGCTGCTGGTCTTCGGCTAGGCAGAAGGAGAGAGAGTATAAAGTGTTAGCATTGGAGGGGCCTCCTGTTTTCCAGTCCTGAGTGATAATGGGGCTGACATTCATTTTCCGGTGTACTGAAGCATGATGGTGAGGCTGACTGCAGAGCAAATTGCTCCTCCCCATCTGTAGGACAGTGAAACACCACATGCAATTCAAGAAAATGCTTTAATTTTGCCTAAAAAAACATATTATTCAAAATTTATGTGGGTGAAAGATGGATGGAAGCCTTCGCAGATGCAGCCTACGAACCTGAGTAAACTTTACCATCCATTATGGTAAAAGCAACCGTGGCCTTGTAAGTGGACTGATTTTTCAATAATACATTTCCCAACTGGTAACTGCTGGAAGGAGTGAAAGCTGCATATGCCTTCCTGAACCCAAATCAGCTACTTAATTAATAGTGCCATTTAAATGGGCTGTTCCAAGTTTTAAAATTAGTACATGGCTTCTAATAAACTAATGGTATAATTAAACAATTACAGACATATCTCCAAGGTGATCAATCCATAAAATCAGCAATCTTCCATAAAAACAGAAATTAAATATATATATATTAAATTAAACAGAAATTATATATATATCCATATGTCTTCAAATCCAATATTTTAAATGTATATATATATATTTCTCTGGGAAAACAATTTAAAATATTGAGTACCTCACAAAATACTTTTTAAATTTACAGACTTCAAATGGAAAAATTTATTCACGGATGCCTACACACAGACATGTGCATATACCCATTTGATGCCTAGCCGGGTTTATATCCCTATGAAATTCCATGACAATGAAACCGAACCATGACCCCCTGATGGCCATGTGGCCATGCTGACACTCTTAAGTTTTCCTATACCCTAAAACATGCACTAAATTTGCATTAATTTGCGTTCGTCTCTATTGTTATGTTGAACCTTGCAGTGCTGTGCTTCAAGGGCTTGGGCTAAATCAATGAATTTCTATCTTTGTACAGTTTGTTTTGATGTTCCCTCCCAGCATAACTGATTAGTTATTTAGTGGAAAAAAGTGATGTAAAGGTTGGAGAGAAATACAGTGATTTGGGCGGTAGGGTAAAGAGAGAAAAGATTACTCTCCTGTTATGCCCCAGCAATAGGGCTCTTATGGTCCAAATTCAACTTGATTCATGCAAATATATCTATGAAATAACTGCATAACTCTCCTGCCATGCCTCCTCCACGGTGGGGTAATAACGCACGTTCCTTACAATTGCATCTCTGTCCACACAAGCGCATAGCTCAAGAGTCAAGTAACGGTTCACAAACTGTAATTTCAGCCGTAACCATAAAAACACTCCCTGGGAAAATTTGAAACTGGAGATTCAGAACCGCTAAGTGATTTAAAGAACTCAGGTAGGACAGCAATCTCTTTTACCAAACTGGTCACGTGATTCAAACGTTAAATGTTGAGAACCACTGGATGTTTTTCTGAGCGGTGAGAATGCAGACCACAAACTACATATTGGCAGCAGGACTGACCAACGCTGACAATGGGTAACCATGGCCTTTTCATTTCCTTCCTGCTTACTTTCTGGAGCTAGACCACAGAAAGAAAAAGTAATCGTGCACTTAAAAGGGAGTAAGGCAGTGTATGCAGGGGTAAAGTATGGGAGGGAGCGGCGTGGCAGTGTGACACAAACTAATTGCTACGCAAACTTTCGCACTGCGGTCTTTTTTATACATATCATGCATATCTGTTGCTACTTACCACTGTTTCTTTAACAGTACGGTTAGTTTTTTTGTTTGTTTAATTGTTTTATAGATAGAAACCAGAGGTCCCTATTAACTTGGAAATATTAAAATATTCTTATTTTCCCACATCCTCAGGACCCTGGTTGATTGGACAATTGGGCAACTGGGCACATCTATATTTTAAAAAAATTTAAGTCTTTAGGTAATTTTGACTCATGGCTCTGTCTTAGAGCCAATAATTTAGAAAAGATTTGAAAGGTTTTTTAAAATCTAATAAAATTTATTGATACAAGGCAAAACATTCTCTGTTTTCACAGTAAAACTGAAATACAGAAGTCAGACTTCATAGATTTTTTTAAAAATACGGTCCCATTTATGACCAGAACAGGCTTTTGTAAATTAATTTTAATTTTCATTATTTTTTTCACAATTTATTCATCATCTATCCTGATTGACGCCCACCCCAACAGAACAGGTTTTAAAGGTATGATTTATTATGAGTCTAATGACTGAAAACCATGTGTCCGTCATTCCACAAGGATATGGGCCATTGTGGAAAGTGGCATCACGGGACCCCTCACACTCTCTCAGTTCCTTCATGTACACTTCGTCATTCTCTCTCTGGCTCAGACAGTAGGGCCAAACAAAAGGGTTGCCCAGTGTGAAAGATGCTTCTGTTATCTCCCCAGAAGTTATATCTGGAAAGATACTAATTGCTCAGAATTCCTCGGGAGGAAACCCCCGGCCCTTTAGAATTACGCTGTCAGTCTTCATTCCCACCTAGCTGTACACCGTGCTCTCCACTCCACGCTCTAGTCGGGGCAAGGCAATGTGGCTTATCAATTGTCAAAATATCGAAATATGAACCGCATCTTTTGGCAAATACATGATTCTATACAGTAACGGATAGAATTCATCTTAAAACTGTGATATTAACTTATTTCAAGTTAATTGTGTATATGCGATGAAGGATATATATTCTTCAGCATATGTGATGAATGGAATTTCTATGTCAGGACTTTCTGAATACTATTTCCTATGTCACATAATGTAATAATAATTCAAAAACAGGGATATTATGGAAAATCAATTTTATGCTTCTATGCTTTGTGAAATAAATATCTCATGAAATGAAAAAAAAACAATGTTTCAGAAACCAAAGGGCAATTGAATGAAACAATTTAAATATTATTAATGAAATAAATATTTCTTATATGTAACTATTTTTATAAGTTAAAATGTACAAGTCATGAATTTGACTGAGGTTACTAGTTTTATCTCAGGAAAGTGGATGGAAAAACATCTTTAATATTATTAGCAATATAATTATATAAAATAACACTTAAGAGAACAACTTTCTGAGAATTGTAATTGTGAAAATGTAGCCAAGCCAGGTATACAGCTGTAAGCCCAACGCTTAAGAGGATGAGGCAGGAGGATTGCTAAGAGTTACAGACCTGCCTTATCTAAAGAGGAAATCTATTACTAACAACTGCAATAACAACAACAACAAAACACCACTGTTGGAAAACAAAGAAAAAGAAAATACACTGAATTTTTCCAGACAAATAGAGCAATAGAGCAAGAATAAAAAAATCAGCCTGGAACACTGCTTCAAGTACAGTCCTGCCGCCGTCAGTCACCATATACAGACATTAGACGGACACAGATGAGTGTGGTATTACCAAGACCTAAGCACGGTGGTGTGGGGTTTCCAAATAAACACCACACTTCCTGTATTGTGGCAAACACGTGAGAGTGTAAACAACACAGAAGAGGGACAGAAAGGCAGAGGGAGCATGTGCTGCAGATTCAAACAGGAAACACTAGACGATTGCTTGAGCTTCAGTAGCAACCTTTGGAGCCAAGGTTAAAAAGGCATTTTGTTAATTATTTTGCTCATAAATAATTTCACATATACATGATATGAAAGCACCTATATATGAAACAGATGAAACACATTATTTGAAATATTTACACATATATTATGTGAAACCAAATATAATATGATCATTTTCTTGAGAAAACTATATCTTTTTAAATAAATGAAATGTATGTAAAAAATTACAAAATTAATAAATATTCCTTCATTAATGTTGCCCCAAATATAATCAAATGGTGCCTACAAAGCTCTAAGAAGGAGCTGCATTTGGAATTGCTCTAGGAATTTCTATGATTTAGCTGTCGAGGAAGAGGGACAGTATTTAAAAGCACAGCCAAGCAGAGCAGGACCTCAAGAGCATTGATATTAACAGACATTACAGACGTACAGAGAGCTTGTGTCACCAAATGGCTCTGGATCTGAGTGGGAACTCTGCAGAGAAAGTCACAGCAGTTTCCTATGTTTAATCATTTCTCTGAGAGGGACTTTTTGTTGGTGTCATCTATGACCAAAGAAATAGCCTGCAGTGACCCATCAACAAGCCATTAGTGATTATGAGAGTGTGAGTGGCTTATGATTATGATTCTGTGATTTGGCATGTGACTCTATATTTCTTGTGGCTGATACATGTGTTAAGAAAATCAGTAATTCATTGCTACTGTAGCTTACATACTGATATTACTGAAAGAGTGGGCAAATGGTCGAAAGTTATCATCCCTTCTCACAGTTCTGGTATTCACAATCTCAGTATACTTTGCGAAAGCTTCTGTTTACACAGTGAAACTTTGTTTCAAACACTGTTATTACATTCTAATAAAATCAAAGCTGACGATTTTATTCCTTATAAAATATGGCATGCCATATACTTTAATGAGGAGGTTGTAACATTACTTTTCACGTATCATCTTGCTAGGACTGGGAAGTGGGAGTCTTAGCTCTGCTACAAACACACATAAGTCATACATGAACACCGTCTTAGTCACTATTCTAATGCTGTGAACAAACGCTATGACCAAGGCAACTCTTTGTTTGTTCTGTTTGTATGTTTGTTTGGTTTTGTTTTTTGAGACAGGGTTTCTTTGTGTAGCCTCTTTGTAGACCAGGCTGGCCTCAGACTCACAGAGGTCCACCTGCCTCTGCTTCCCTGACTGCTGAGATTAAAGACATGCCACCACATCTAGCTTCAAGGCAACTCTTAGAAAAGGAGAGTAGAAGCTTGCTTATGGTTTCAGAGGTCAGCCTATCATCATCATGGTAGGGAGCATGGTGTCACATACGGTGCTGGAGAAGTAGCTGAGAGCTTTACATTCCGGTTTCCAGACACAGAGAGAGGGAGACAGAGAGAGACAGACAGACACAGAGAGAGATACAGGGAGAGAAAGACTGG